GGGGGGGGGGCGATTTACCTCACTCTCCCCTCCCTGTTCGGCACCACATCGGCAGCCCCACTCCCCGCCTCTCTCGGTCATCCCGTTACCCCCTCCCCCTCCTCAACCCTAAAATTCGGCGACGACCGGAGGGAGAAGGCGAAAGGGAGTCCTGAGGGAGCGACAGGGGGATCTAACAGTTTTCAACAGTAAAACAAATGCTACTCGAGCCCCTGGGAAGACGCTCATCCGATTGGATCCACCAATGTCACCAACTAATATTTATAATACAAATTATTACCCGTAATAAGGCGATTACACGCGAATAATGTAAATATGGACAGCAGAGCAGAAGCGTGGAGCTCACGGCACTGATCAAATTAACCACTGCGAGGAAAACAAGCCAAAACCAGAGCATCAAGTAGAGCTTCTCGTTGAATACGTTGGCCATTAGGACGCATTGTATCGTATGAGTGTTCGCTTGTCCAACTTGCTGCACAAAAACGCATGTATCTATCACAGAACACAGAGAATTTGCACTAACAGATCAATCATAGCACCTACCGAGCGAATACTTTTGTTATGTCAAACTGGTTCAGGTACTTTAGAATTTAAAAAAAAAGTGATTAAGCAAGACGTACAGTGATATCGATATCGCAGAAGGTCACCCGAGGGAACATGCCGGATCTTTTCCAATCGTTGCCTTTGAGTAATTGCAGCAATAACTAGAAATCACAACAGAAATTTTTAACAGATTTGCGCATGCACGAAAAAGGGTGAAACAAGATTGTATATTTGTGAGTCTAGTAAAAATAATGTTCAGAAGGGTACAAAACAAAATCAGGTTGCCTCAGGATGCTTCAACCACTTTATACACTAAATAATCTACTATATTCTGTCCTAAGCGGCCAGAATGTGTTTTTTTTTTTTTTTTTTTCATTTGTTAGGTAGTGCTCATAATTGTATGAAGTTATACCTATAAGGAGGCACGCGCCAAGCTTCCGACTCTGGGTTGATACTTGTGATCTTTATTAATAAAAAATGTTTTATTGTTAATAAAGGAGGTCGTCCTATGCGACCGTTTCCTCTCATCAGCGACTCGATCATTTCTGGCTCGCATGCCACGCAGTTTTCCGCAACATAACACCAGTTCTCATTGCGCGAGCTCAGGAACAAAGGATCTGGCAGGGCTGTGCTTGGCATATAAAAGCATCTAACTGACAAGGGGTCCGCAAACCCAATTTTACAGTGTTGATATTTCTGATACGTTTTCGTTGGGTGCATATTTCAGTGGTTATGGCATGTTGGTGAATGATAACGACCGCTTGAGTAGCTTTCGAGCAGGTAGCACACATACATCGAACAGGCAATGGTACTAGGTATGCGGCTCAGGATGGGGAAGAGCTTGATGTAACTGCGCTAGGGATGTAATCCCACCTAGCAACACCATTACTAACAACGAACCCGGTCGATTTTGGCAATTTTCATGATTTTCTTTTTTTTTTCTAAACATTCAGCATATCTATGTAAAACTACGGTAGTCGCAGCCCAGAATGTTGGCGTATTTAGCCTATAGTCAGACGAGAATGGCCCAAAAAATGCCTATCGCCGCTAACTTTTGAATTCCTGGCATAATAAGTGCAAGAAGACTGAGAACCAAAAGAAATTTGAAAAAAAAAAAAAAAAAAAAAACCGAAG